AAAATTCATGTTTATTTAATAAAAAAATAATGTTAGAAAAGTGAAAAATTGGGATGTTTTTAAAACGTGTTCGTTGTGAAAGACCGGTAAACCCGTACAAGTTAACAACAAGAAGACAGTTTCGGTGTATAGGTTTTCACACCCTTAAAAAGAATTCAGATATAAATTTTCATAACTTTATAAAGAATGTTTTACTCTCTGAGAGTGAGTCGTTTAGTAAGGTTTAGACACTTGGAATGCGCATCTTTACCTAAACATTATCGTCAAAGAACAATGTGTGATGTGATGTTATTTCTTTTCTTGTTTTTCAATACAACTGCCATCTGGGTTAGCAAGTGCCACATATTTTTCTTTTGTTCCTGCTTCTAACATATGGAGTATCCATTCCATGGAACAAAATCTGATTCTCTGATCTTAGGTGAAAATAGGAATTCAAATCTTTGCTTCTTTGCTTCTCGTGTCGAGTCTAATATTAATATTACACGACAATCCCTTCCATGGCGAAAGGAAATCCAGTTCCAGAAAACTCATACACCTGCTGCACTACATTCCCAGATGAATTCCCCAAACACAGCAGAATTTAGCGTAGCTAAGAGAATTCAAACACTAGGGTACTACTAATACTTCTTTAACCATAAAAGAGGTGGCAGAAAAAGCCTTCTAAACCTAACTTGAATGCAGCTCACCCAAGAACATCACCAGAAAAATATTCCCCCATTTTCGTTTCGAATCACTACTTTACCTTTCAACCATTCATATTTGTTCTCTAGTTAGTTTCCGAAACATTTTTTATAAGGGTGTGGAAGCCTCTACCAAAAAAACATTGAGGGGAAGTATATCTACTGACGATGGACTTGAACCATTACCATGCCTAGTATGTATTCCAGTATATGCATAGCCATCAAAATTCATCCAGAAGATAGATGGGAAAGTAAGTAGTTAGTTTAATAATATTATAGCAGAAAACAAAACCTTCCAGCCGTTTCAGCACCATCAAATCAACAAATATAATATATATAAACAGCTTCTTGTGAGAACTAAGATGTAGAATCTGATTGGCATCAAAACCAAGAAGATTACAGCTTTTCACAAGGCAGCAGGCATAAATGACCAGAAATTTCAGTTCAGTGAATACCAGAATTTCAAGCTTGCATTTAACTAATAATCTTTAAGGTGTAATACTATGTTGATCTGTACGAACAGGCATATATTTCCCTGAAACTGTAATTAAATCATACTAAGAAATATAGATCTAGGAGAACATAGGAAGGTGATGCAACAAGGGTTGTATATTCCCTAATTAAAAACTGTATTTGTGATTATGTTCCTTACACCTGTCTGCCATGAGCTTATTTAGAGACATGATTTTCCACAAGAGTAAGAAAAATCTTCTCAGCATATTGTGTATACCTGTGATGATTATCCTATCTATATGCTTCAAGCAATATTATAGATGCTACTATTTCTTGATCTTCTTCAGCTGCTTCCTAGGCCCAGGAACTTCCAATCGACCAACAGAACAGCCACATCTAGCTCGAAATATGAGCACAGCTCTTCCATTAGGAGGTGCCATCTTCTTAAGTTCAGCTTCTAATTCGCGGTGATGATCACGGGGCAATTCAAACAGCCCTTTCTTTACTCCATTTTTAACTAATGGACTAGAGTTCTTCACACACTCCTCTGTCTCCAATTGGATATCGAATTCAGCTGCCTTGCGAAGACCCTTGCAATAAGGATTTCCACATTTCCTGTTCGTGCAAATTAAAACAACCCAGGCAGCTAATGAAGCACAGAAAATGCTTAGTCCAATGGATCCATAAATCCAAGGAGCACGAGAGACTTCCTCCCCCATTAAATACAGAATCGCGCCGAAAATATCAAGGAATTCAACGATTACAAGCTTCATATAGGGAAATAACAAAACCCCACAAGCACCAACCACAGCGATCAAAATCACAACATCGATGACGGCCGATCGAGACCTATGACAAACGGGGAATTTCGAACAAGTCGATGAGACAGTCATCTTCCTGTTCCTTGATTTGGAACTTGGATCGGATAAATTCACTGAACTCGCCATGACGGTTGGTTGGTCAACGGACTTGCAGACCGAGATTGAGTATGGGAAATAGACCATCTCAAATCAAATTCCAACCGAACTGCGATCGAAACTGCCCGATTCAATCAATCAATCAATCAATCAATCAAATCAGCAATTCAGACCCCGAATCAGATCGAACAACTCAAGGGAAAAATCCAAATCGAGAAAAGGGTATTATTAATTCCAGATGAAAAAGAAAACCCAGAAATTTGTCGGCGCCTAAACCAATTCCAACTCCTCAATCGAATCGAAACGGCAATTAAAACCCAAAAAAGACGTAATGGGGATTGAGAAATCGGCGAAACAGGTTAAATCCAAAAGAGTGGAGACAGAAAAAGAAGAAGAAACTAGTGGAGAGAGCGTGATTTGAAGCTTTAAAGCCACATCTCCTGTGGAAAAAGAAAGAGAAGTCGGTTGAAGAATTTAGGAAATGGCAATCGGCTTAAGTCAGAGGATGAAGGAAGCTTACGTGGGCTACTTCTCCCTTATGGGCTTTGGATTTCTCCTTCCATGATGTGGGAATGATTTGGTGGGCCACTCCATGGGCCTGGCCCACACTTTTTTTTTGTTAAATTAACCTAATTTATTAATATAATATAATATTATATTAATTAAAACTTAAAACAATCTCAACCTTAAAAAGATTTTTAGAATTTATTATTATTTCTTAATTTAATTTCCATTTTTAGAACAAGTGTGGTCTTATTCCCATTTATGGAAGTAATAATTTGATGGAGGGATGTTAATTAAAGTGTTTTGATTCTTAATCAATTAAATAATATAATAGAATATACTTTACAAAGGAAAAAGGAACATACTTTTAATTTTTAAACAATAGAATTAACTAATGATTAACTAATGATTAGATACTATTTTATTTTATTTATAATTGAAATTTGACCTTTTTTTTTTTTCAATATATATATAAATTCTCAAAAAAGGAACAAAAAAAAAAACAAAATTAATTTGGTACCACAAATGGACAAATCAAAATTCAAAACCCAAACGCAATGCCATTGCCGTTGTTCATAAAAAGGAAGAAAAAAGCACTGACCTGAAAACTACCAAACGTTGACCTTGAAGTCTTTGGGTCAAAATGGGAATTGGCCATTGCCTCAAGAATTCAAATTTTTTTATTATGACATTTAAAAATAAGTTTTTTTTTTATTATGAATAAAACAAAAAGGCGTTCTGGTTGGGCCGAAGCCCATATTCACTTGGTTGACCTAATTTTCATAGGTGGGCTTGGATTTTAACTTATATGGAAATGGGCTTAGTTCGGGGATTAAGCCCAAATGCCACGTGGGCAATTTTATCCATTTTATATACTTTATTAATAAATACAAATTTTAATGTGTATTATAATTTGTCATTATTACATCCCGATTTGAATATATATACACATATATAGTAAAGTAGTTCAAGAATAGCATATGAGTCAGATCTTTTAACTTAACTTCAAAAAATAGTTAATGAAATTAAGTTTTAACCACCAAATATTTTATCCTAGGTTAAATTAGGATTGAATTGATTTGATCTTAGATATTTTATTAAAGGTTAATAAAGTTGAAAGGATATAAATTATTTTTATTTAGTTATTTTCTATATCTTTTAAAAAAAGATATAGAAAGCCTCAAAAAGTGTGACCCATATGACTTAGATTATCTCTCATCTGACTTTGGCACTTGCATCAAAGAACCCAATGTCAACACGACATAAAGCCTGTAAATTTTTTTATAACAAAAATATGCATAATAATAATAATAATTATTATTATTAAAAAAAAAAAAAAAAAAAAATCTTATCCTCTCACTGCCTTAGTGCTTCATTAAATTCCTCTGGATCTGAACACTCCTCATACCTTCCTTTTACTTTCCCTTCACAACTCTCTCTCTAGCCGCCTTATGGATCATCCTAAAATCTTCCCAATTCTTCTCCTTCTCTTCATCGTTCTTGGTACTCCAAACAATTTCCCATATTTTTCTTCTATGTTCACTCCCTTGATCCTCATGGTTCTTCATTTTCTCTTCAGGATTTGGCGTGGGAGCGATGGAAGCAGCGGCACATCCCGGCTATGATACCACCAGTTCATCGCAAAAGGTAAGCTTTTTGGAAGCCTAGAAATGGAGTTTTTGGAAGATATTGGTGTAATTAACGAAGGGGTTTGTTTGTGTTGGCAGAAGAGTGGGGGCAAGCCCAGGAAAGTGATGATGGAAGTGATGGACTATGCAGATCCAGGCCCAAATACCAATACAAGAAGTGGCTATCTCACCCCCCCTTCTTCCCCTCCTCTGCCGCCCTCTTCCTGAATCTCAAATAATAATTTCTTCTCTGTTCTTCGTTTCTCATATCATATTCTAACTTCCAAGTGTAATTCATGCATGGAATTGCACCTTTTGCTGTCAGATTTCCAGTAATTTGCTTCTAATATTCGATCAAATAATTTCATTATTTTATGATTAATTATAACTTGGGTTTTGTGCAGTATTAATAAACTAAGCATTCGCACGAGTATAGATCCCAACAATAATATATAAAGTAAATGGAATTGTTAAATAATAATAATTTAGTGAAATAAGAGAAATAAATCGAAATAATTTCCCAATTTTATATGGTTGCATTTAAAGCTAGGCTATAACTCTATTGACATTTTACTACTTATATTCAAATGTGACCAACTTTATGTTATTTAACATCGTTGTTATTATGTGAGTCAGAACTTTGTAACATTGGATAAATGGTTTCGTTTTCCGTACTATTGTGTTTTATTTGTTGAAGGAGTTTTATTTGTTGAAGGAAAGTTCGTCGGAAATGAGAGAGGAGGACATGTCCGACATTGTATCAGTTCATCAACTCAACTTGGTTCATAGGCATGGATTAGAGTTGAGCACTAAAGAGAGAACATAAAAACTGTAACTTAGAGAGAGTTCATACGCTTAATTTTCTTTTCTACATGCATCTTGATTACATACTTATAAAGATTAAAGTTTTACATGTGACTCAGAAAGATAGTCCTTTGGGTGGAGGAACAACAGAGTCGACAGATGGAACTTTAGGTGGAGGAACAACGGAGTTGATAGATGGAACTTTGGAACTTTGGAACTTTAGGTGGGACACTACGGAGTCGACAGTTGGAACTTTAGGTGGAGGAACTACAGAGTTGACTGGTGATACTTTAGGTGGAGGTACAGAGTTGACAGATGATACTTTTGGTGGAGGAACTATAGAGTTGACAGATGAAATTTTCGGTAGAGGAACCACAGAGTTGATAGATTATACTCTGGGTGGAGGCACAGAGTTGACAGATTGTACTCTGGGGGGAGGCACAGAGTTGACAGATTGTACTCTGGGTGGAGGCACAGAGTTGACAGATTGTACTCTGGGTGGAGGTACAGAGTTGACAGATTGTTCTCTGTGTGGAGGTATAGAGTTGACAGATTGTACTCTAGGTGGAGGCACTGAGTTGACAGATTGTACTCTAAGTGGAGGTACAGAGTTGACAGATTGTTTTCCGAGTGGAGGTATAGAGTTGACAGATTGTACTCTGGGTGGAGGCACAGAGTTGACAGATGATACTCTGGATGGAGGAGCAACATGGTTAATAGATGGTACTTTGGATGGAGAAACAACAAAGTCAACCGGTAGAACTTTGGGAGGAGGAACAGGAGGAACAACAGAGTCAACGGATGGAACTTTAAGTGGAGTAACAAAAGAATTAAATGCTTCCATCCTCATCTTCCTCGAATATACTTCCTTTCCCTACCAAACGAACACACAAAAGTTCATTTTAGCTCCAACATAAATATATATTAGTATGTTCCTTCACGTATGACTAAAAAAATTTCTATATAAAAAAAAAATGGTAGTGTTTAGTTAGAACAAATAAAAATGGTTGATTTCAAGTACTTTTAGCGGATCATATAATTAAGTTTGTTCTAAATTGTTTTAGATAATAAGTAATGCAAAGCACGTCTTACCAAACATTGGATGGATATACAAAAATTTGGGAGTACCTTGGTTGAAGTAACAAAGACCTCATCCGCAGCTCCGATCACTGCTTCAACTCCAAATCCTTATAAAAACAAACGGATCAAAACCCAATATTTAACCAAATATGTGTATGTAAATAAAGAATCCTAAGAATTAAAACCTTACCAGATGAAAATACGAAGCATGAAAGGAGAAGAACAGAGAAAACTCCATAGTTACCCATTTCTTTTCTCTCTGGTTCTTTTGTTAAGATTAAAGAGAAGATTTGAGGCTTTAGAGTTCAGGTCCAAAGCTATTTATAGTATGCAATTCAAAGGCATTAATGCTATGTTTGGAAGCAAAAATGGTAAACCTCAGTAAACCTAAAAACATCATATTATTATTAAGACTATGTTTGATAACAACGCTTAATAACAACTTCGTGTCTCAAACTTTTGCAGTACAAACCAATGATATCTAAGTGGATGCTTGCATGGAGTCCAACTAGACACATGGCATCATGATTTGTCAACTTCTTTTCATATACGATCAAATATTAACAAATTGGTTCTATGTATGACCAAATGTCACCAAATTGAGTTTTATGATGGTTGGAATGGAAGTCATAAATTTTGTTCCATCGCCAAATATTATCGAATTCAGTTACGCATCGACGCATACCCTTTCGAGAAAAGATTTATTTAATTTTCTATCAAATATATTCTAACTTCCAAGTGTAACTCATGCATGGAATTGCACCTTTTGGTGTCAAATTTCCAGTAATTTGCTTCTAATATTCGATCAAATAATTACATTATTTTATGATTAATTATAACTTGGGGTTTGTGCTAATAATAATAAACTAAGTATTCGCACGAGTATAGATCCCAATAATAATATATAAAGGAAATGGAATTGTTAAATAATAATAATTTAGTAATATAAGAGAAATAAATCAAAATAATTTCCCAATTTTATATGGTTGCATTTAAAGCTAGGCTATAACTATATTGACATTTTACTACTTATATTCAAATGTGACCAACTTTATGTTATTTAACAACGTTGTGATTATGTGAATCAGAACTTTGTAACATTGGATACATGGTTTTGTTTTTATTTTTTGTTTTAGGGTTTTATCATACGTTCTCCATACCATTGTGTTTTATTTGTTGAAGGAAAGTTGGTCGGAAATGAGAGAGGAGGACATTTCGACATTGTATCAGTTGATCAACTCAACTTGGTTCATAGGCATGGATTAGAGTTGCACGCTAAAGAGAGAGAACATAAAAACTCTAACTTAGAGAGAGTTCATACGCTTAATTTTCTTTTCCATATGCATGTTGATTCCATACTTGAAAAGATTAAAGTTTTACATGTGACTTGGAAAGAGGATGAAGCTGAAATTAGAACCAACATCAGCAAATTGTACTGTGTTTTTGGTTGGGGTTTGTTGGAGATAAGTAAGTTATTACATGCCAACGGAATTGACAGATGGAACTTTGGGAGGAGGAACTACTGAATTGACAGATGGAACTTTGGGTGGAGGAACTACAGAGTTGCCAAATGATACTTTGGGTGGAGGAACGACAGAGTCGACGGATGATACTTTGGGTGGAGGAACTATGGAGTTGACGGATGGAACTTTAGGTGGAGGAACTACGAAGTCGACAGATGGAACTTTGGGTGGAGGAACTACGGAGTCGCCAGACGATACTTTGGGTGGAGGAACAACAGAGTTGAAAGATGGTACTTTCGGTGGAGGAACAACAGAGTCGCCAGATGATACTTTGGGTGGAGGAACTACGGAGTCGACGGATGGTACTTTGGGTGGAGGAACAACAGAGTTGACAGATGATACTTTGGGTGGAGGAACAACAGAATTGCCAGATGATACTTTGGGTGGAGGAACAACAGAGTTGCCAGATGATACTTTGGGTGGAGGAACAACAAAGTCGACGGATGGAACTTTTGGTGGAGTAACGAAAAAATTCAATGCTTCCATCTTCATCTTCCTTGAATATGCTTCATTTCCCTACCAAACAAACACACAAAAGTTTATTTTAGCTCCAACATAAATATATATTAGTACGTTCCTTCACGTGTGACCAAAAAATTTTCTATAAAAACAAAAATGGTAGTGTTTAGTTAGAACAAACAAAAATGGTTGATTTCAACTGCTTTTAGAGGATCGTATAAGTAATAAGTAATGCAAAGCACGTCTATATCAAACATTGCATGGATATACAAAAATTTGGGCGTATGGATAACCAAAACCTACCTTGACTGATGTAACAACTTCCTCGGTGACTCCCATCACTACTTCAACTCCAAATCCTTAGAAAAACAAAGGGATCAAAACCCAATATTTAACCAAACATGTGTACGTAAATAAAGAATTCCAAGAATCAAAAGCTTACCCGATAACAACACAAAGCATGAAAGTAGAACTGAGAAAACAGTGTGGCTACCCATCTTTTTTCTCTCTACTTCTTTTAATAAGAGAAAAGAGATGATTTGATGCCTAAGCTATTTATAGCGTGCAATTCAAAAGCATTAATGCTATGTATGGAAGCAAAAACTCGTAAACCCAAAGTCACCCTACGTAGAATTGAAACCGACGTCCTCACATAAACCTAGGAACACCATATTAGCGACACTCTTTTGTTATAGACACTCTTTTGTTATTAAGACTGTTGTTATTAAGACTGTGTTTGATAACAACTTTGTATCTCAAAAGTTCGCTATACAAACCAATAGATTGTGATATCTAAGTAGATGTTGCATGGAGTCCTATTAGACTCATGGCATTGTGATTAAATGACTATTAAGTTCTTTCCATGTATGATCAAATATTAATAAATTATTTCCATGTATGATCAAATATTAATAAATTATTTCCATGTATGACCAAATACCGCCAAATTTAGTTTTATGATTGTTAGAATGGAAGTCATAAGATTCGTTCTTTGACTAAATACTATTGAATTCAGTTACGCATTGACCTATAGCCTCAAAGACGAAAATTGTAAATTTTTCGAGAAAAGATTTGTTTAGTTTTCTACCAAATATTTATTGTAGCCATGTTTGGAAAATTGGCGATGAAACATTAGGCAAGTGCAGATAGTTGGGATTGATTTTTAACTATGTATTTTAGAGAAACAACGTGACTTTTTTCGTTTTATATTTTTCACTTGTTTACAACTGTGACAACCCATTTTCTTGAGTCACGAGCCAAGACTTGAACTATTGGCACAAAATTTAAAATAACTCGATAAACTCTGATAAGCTACACTTAGGGTTCTAGGATAACATGATTAGCTCTACACTAGTCCTTCTGTTCGTAACCAACTTATATATCATATGCACCGATGCGTGACTTCATCATGAACACTATCAATCTAGACAAACTCCATATGAAAAGTTACTTGGCGGCTTTCTAATAGGCTCTATAATATCATCATCATCAAGGAGGGAGCAACCCTCGTATTTGTTAACTATCATATATCCATATGGTCACTTACCCTCGTCCATACAAGTTCACAACTAAGGAATAGTTGGAAATCTCCTAATCGCCCCCATACATGGTATTTTTATGGCACTATAAAGTTAAACATATATGATAGACGCACAATACAGGGAACCTAAATGAGATTGGTGTGTAATTATAAGTTTATAAGTGAGTTTATTGCTGAGTATATTACTATTGCTTATTCAAATTATAAAAAAAAAAAAAAATTCCGTTGTATTTATTTAACCCAAGTAAAAAGGAAAAATCTCGGGATATTATTATTCGGAGTGAAAAATCTGAATTCCGTTGTATTTTGGGGGACAACATAGGGAGTAATTTTGTAGAGTAAAAACAGTCCCCAGGGTCAAAACCCTAGATAGACTCCGGCACAGGAAGTCTCGAGAATCAACGATCGTTTCCCAAAAATTATCGATTTCGAACAGTCGGTCTTCGCCTCACATTGCTATCCTTCTTCTTCATTGTTCGTCAATCTACAGGTTGCTTTTGATTTTGCTTCTAACGTTTTTAATTTCGAAGTCTGTCCTCTTTCGTTTTATTTTCTGTTATCGTTATCAATTGTTTCATCTGTTGTTGCTCAGTTCTGCGATGCGGTTGTATTCATTGTTCTGATATATCTATGTGCGTCTGATTGTGCTGTCGAGTTGAGATCTAAACTCATTTTCTGTTCTTGTTGCTAATTTGGCAAGAGAACTGCTCTGTAAAAAAAAAGTTTCTTCTTGATGCCTGTAGAAGGCTATAAATTGTATCCCCGCGGAAAGAGAACGATTTTTTTGTCGTAAAAGTAGCTCCAATCTCGTTTAATTTTTCGTTTCTTTTGTTTTCTGTTCCATTTAGTTTTGTTAAATCAGCCGTTTTGTTGTGCAGTGAGCTGACAATAATGTTAAAACTGATATATGAAGATGGAACGGTCTTTGTTTTTGTTATAGCTGGTCCTCTTTTCATATCCTTGGCCGGAAACATGAGTTTTTCACTTACAACTGAGCAAGCCGTTTGCTAAGATGTGTATCTCATATTGAATCATTTTCTTGTGTTGTGTTAGATGCACGCATGATGTTGTAGCATATATGTTCAGGGTTATGATCTAGCTAAGATATGTTCGGGCTGTTCAGATTTTTTGTTATCCTTAATTATTATTTTTTATTAATTCATGGCTTTAATACAGTTTTTTTTTTTAATTTGTGTGGAGACAGATATAACCAATTTTTCAGTCCATGGCTGGTCAGAGGAACAGTTATGGAAAACGGAACCATTCTCAGTCTGATTATGCTGAAAATGGAGGGAACAGGCGAAGAAGTCATGGTGATGACCGAGACCAGTTTGTCATAGATCCAGAGGATACTGTTTACCGGTATTTGTGCCCTGTAAAAAAGATTGGTAGTGTTATTGGAAGAGGAGGGGAGATAGTGAAGCAGTTAAGGATAGATACTAAATCAAAGATTAGAATTGGAGAAACAGTGCCTGGATGTGATGAGCGTGTTATAACTATCTACAGTCCAAGCAATGAGATTAATTCCATGGAAGATAGTGATTATGTTTCTCCTGCTCAGGAGGCTTTGTTTAAAGTGCATGATAGAGTTGTGGCTGATGACTTAAATGAGGAGGAATCTGAGGGAGGAGGTCACCATGTCACAGCGAGAATTCTTGTACCATCTGATCAAATTGGTTGTATTATTGGGAAAGGTGGGCAGATTGTGCAGAATATTCGCACTGAGACTGGGGCACTGGTTCGAATTCTTAAGGATGATCATTTGCCACGTTGTGCTCTGAATTCTGATGAACTTGTACAGGTAAGTGGATGGATTTACCAAATGTTTTTGCTCCTTTATAGTATTTATTTAGTTGAAGTTATGTGTTTCAGGTTTCTGGTGAACCCTCGATTGTGAAGAAAGCCTTGTACCAGATTGCATCTCGACTGCATGACAATCCATCACGATCTCAGCATCTACTTGCTTCTGCCATACCTGGTGTCTATGCTTCTGGTGGTTCAATTTTGGCTCCCACACATGGTGCTCCAATAATGGGATTAGCCCCATTGGTTGGTCCGTATGGAGGTTATAAAGGTGATAGTGGTAATTGGTCCAGGTCTTTATATTCAGCTCCAAGAGAAGAATTGTCTTCAGCAAAAGAGTTTTCTCTCCGACTGGTATGTCCAAGTGAAAATATTGGAGGTGTCATTGGAAAAGGTGGAGCCGTAATCAATCAAATTAGACAGGAGACTAAGGCTGCCATAAAAGTTGATAGTTCTACTGAAGGAGATGATAGCTTGATTAATATTTCATCTAAGGAGGTTTAATCTAATCTTTTATTTCTCTGTTTTTGTTGGCTGTGGATTATAATTCTGACATCTTTGTTACTGCTTCAGTTCTTTGAAGACTCATATTCTCCCACATTGGAAGCTGCATTGCGCTTGCAACCAAGATGCAGTGAGAAAGTAGAAAGAGATTCTGGGATTATTTCATTCACAACCCGCCTGCTTGTGCCTACATCACGAATTGGTTGCCTAATTGGTAAAGGTGGAGCTATCATTACTGAGTTGAGAAGGCTCACCAAAGCTAATATTCGAATACTGTCAAAAGAGAACCTTCCTAAGGTTGCCTTGGAGGATGATGAAATGGTGCAGGTAGTCACTGTTAATTGATTGATATTCATTTTCTTGTCATGATGAACTCATATATTTCATATGGCTTGGGTTGGTTTGGGTTAATTTGGTTGTTTTTATGATTAGATATCTGGGGATCTTGATGTCGCCAAGGAGGCTCTTGTACATATAGTGACTAGGCTAAGAGCCAACCTTTTTGATAGAGAAGGTGCTCTCTCTGCTATGCTGCCTGTTCTGCCTTATCTTCCCCTATCAGCTGATGGTTCAGATAGTCTAAATTATGATGGGAGAGATAGTAAAAGACATGGGCGTGGACATTCTTATTCTAGTGGTTATGGGGGTTTCACTGATTTGGCTGCTGGTGATGGTTATGGAAGTTACAGTGGTTCACAGGTATGTATATTGTCCTTGACACATATAATGCCAGATAAAGTTTTGAAATTTTCCACCTATCTGCCTTTAATTGAAAACAAATTCATTTTTCATCTTGATATTTAACCTATTATTGGTCAGAATCTAACGACCAAACATCTAATTTGCAACTGAAGCCAACCTTTTTCTTTGTAGATTGGTGGTGGTGGTGGTGGTGGTAATGCATACGGGGCCTATGGAAATTTTTCTATGGGACGAAGTGGTAGCTCAGGGTAAATTCTTCTCTTCATCTCCATTTCTTGTTGTCAATCTAGAAAGCAGGAAAAATTATTTAGATTGACCTTCTGCAGTTGGTGCACCTATTAATTATTTGGTCAAATCTTGCATATCTTTATAAGCATTATGATCAGATTTAATTTGTTAATGTATAGGTAGTGTATATCTTTATAAGCATTATGAATCGATTTTACTTCTTCTTTAGGGTTTCCGGACATGGCAATGAACCTCGGAGGAGAAATTATTCCTAGCTTGGCAGTCATTATTTACAGGTATGTTATTCTCTTCTCCTTTGGGGTAGGAATAAAGAGAGAAAATATGGAAGAAAAGATAACTTCACCTGTTCTATAACGTTAGCCAAAGAACCACTGACAATTGTTAGTTTGATAAACATAAGCTATCCGGTCTCCCTATGCTTAACATTCTGATACAATTATTTTCCCCTTGCCTTTCCCTTCCCATTAAAACAGCTGAGATTTATGAAGCCTGAGGCCAGCCTACTGCCTTAACCTGAAGACCAGATGAACCAGCGTTTGACATATTCATGGCCCACCTTGATGCTACCTTTAGTCAGACTATGCCTGAAGATCTTGTTGACTCTTAATTCTAACTCGTCCACACACCAAGATGACCATGAATAAAATCTTGAGCTCCTAAGAACCTACTAGCTGAAATTCCTGGGTTTTTTTGTTGTTTTTTCCTGCACAAATATTGAACTACGAAACCATGTTTACTTCCGCAATGGACACCCGTGGAGTTTTCGTTTTGTGTGGTTTTACTGCTATAAAAGATTCGTTTATAATTCACGATGTCCAGGAAGTTCCTTCTCTTCATTTTTCTTTTCTATTCTTTTTTACCATGGAGTGCAGCCCATATCTGCATCGTTCACCTGAATTGTGCAGGGATTAAGTGTCATACCCTGCTCTCTTGCACCCAACAGTCATTCATTTTTATGGCGATATAACATCCCTACTTTAGACTTGTTAATTTCTGAAAAAAAGGGTTTTCTTATTTAGTAGCAAGAGTACTCCTACTCAGGGGCAGCGTGTTTGATCCTTTGAGTGAACTGAATAAGAACAACCTTTGATGTTTTTTTGGTCTAGGCCTGGAAGTGGGCGGGGGTGCCTCTAGATTACTGGGTTGAGGCCCCTAATGCCGGGTTATTAAAAAATGAAGTCCCAATAGTGTTGTTTCAGAATATGGAATGAGCATAAGATAACAAAAGAGGTCAGATCGTTTTATAGTTCTTCAAAATATAGCTATTGAACTTTGTGAAATTGGAAATAATATGTGGCTTAAAGATGTTTTCGATCCTTCGAATGAAATAAATTGTTGCATAGCTTGTTGAAACCTGCCATACATCTTTTATGATCTCTTTTGTCCATTTCTAAGCTTCTGTAAAAACCCTGTAGTCTTCACCACCAGGTTTGATTTTTTTATTTCAACATCATTCTGCCATTTGAAGTACGACAGGGCAGATATTTATACCATCGTTCCACGACAACCTTTACCTCTTATGTCCACGCTAAAACATGCTGTTATAGTTTTTCCATTTAGTGGAAGGCTATATTATGCCAAGCCAGTGTCTTATTCTATACTTGACTGGGTAAGGTAAGAGCAGTTATAGTTTGAGAATGCATTGCTTTTTTTTATTGCTTATACTGTCTGTCAGGCTATCTTATGCCATACATTTTGTTTTCTTTTTTCTGTGTTTTAATTTCATATTGGATATACAGTACTTTATCTTCAAAGGACTGTTATCTTTTGTTAACGTATCTATGTACTGGGTTACTCACAAAAAAGCACCCTTCCTCTATGGAAGGACATAACATTCTCTGACCTTGGACATGGTCTATGCTAACATGGAAACTTCTGTTGTAGCTAGAACTGTTGTAAGAACCGTGCTGGTTTCATGCAGCTGTTGCTGAATCTAACTGGATTTTAATCCTTTCGAAAATAGAGGTTAGGTAAACTTCGTCGGTACTACAGATTGTCAGTATTCGGAACAAAACTGAGTTCTTTGATCGTTTTAGAGTTGTCTTCAAGGTAGATGGTTGCTTCTTGGGGGACAGAGACTCTTAACATGGCCTGTCTACAATCGATTCGAAGATTAATTCAGAGCTGATGGATAGAATTATATGTTGATTGAATTGAGACTCAAGTTAAATGGGGAAGTATCTGTATTTTTTTCTCTCAATAGAATTATTTCAATGTTTTATTGTTCGAAAGCTAGAATTCATTATAATGAATAGTATTGCGTTACAGTTTCTAATGTGCATATGGTCAGTATGAAACAATAGCCTTTAGTATTGTAACCTACTTCTATATTAAGGCAAATGTTCCCACACTAGGGTTTTCTGAGAGGTTGTGGCCATTGATCAAGTTGAACACCCTAATTGGCTTTGTTAGCTACTTTATGTTTTGAAGAATTTGTACAAATTGGTTTTATTAATTGAAATAAAAATTTTGTACAGATATAATATGTTTTATTTTTTTCAATTCCAGTTGGCAGATTACAATGGAGTAAAGGCTGGTCATCAAATTGAAATTTCTCCTTTAGATCTTGGTTCAGAATCAAATTCTAAGCTCTCATGTATTTACTTGGTATTCCCTTCGATTAAGAAAAATAGATTCAATCAAAATGGAAGACATGAAATCAAAACATATTTAGGATAATTTTTAATGCTATAAAATTGCTATTTGAGAGTGCATATTTTCAAAACTTTAGCTCTCCAACAAAACCACTATCATGACTATCCCTAAATATGTTAATTAAACGACAATTGTATAGATAAGTTTTTGTTAGCATATTTAAAATAATAATAAAATCTAATCAAGAACTTTTTGTATACCAAGGGCAAAATTAAAAATTTTAAAAGATCATAAACTAATTAGGGATTGTTTGATATATTTAATCTAAAATGAGTTGTATTCCAATTTATTTGGAACATGATTCGGAGTAATTTTGAAATGATCAAAATTATTTTTGCCAAGGTCAATTTACTCCAAAATATGCATTTAATTATTTAAAATCAATTTAGTATTTGATTTTACCATTTAAATGAGATTTTGAATAATTAAAAGCATATAAGTAGTTTTTTTTTAAAAAAAACATTTTATAATCGGTCTCAAAGATGTCCTTATGTACCTAATTGATTTTAAATGACTCTTTCCAAGTAAAGGGAAGACCAAAATTTACATCCAATGGTTTAGAACTTAAAAGAGAACTTAGAAAAGAAAGTGTGTGAAGCACACAATTCCCACACAACAAATATAAAAGTTTGCATATAAAAATGAGGAAGTGGACAAAGTGGAATGGTTTCTGATAGAGTCTAGAGGCAATCACAATACTGAACCCAACTCAACTTCCCTCGATTTCTTTCCTAATTTGATCATTTTTTTATGTTTTTGTTTTTGCAAACCAACTTCCCAACTGCCCTCATCTTCTCCAAAGGACATCTGTTGAGTTATGAATGATGATGATGAAGAAGAAGAGGATGAACATTGAATGGAAGTCCTTCCAAAAATACATTTGAAAAAGGTCCCATGTTATATCTTCTTCTTCCTTTTCAATTTAAAGTAGATTATCCCTAAGTTCCCCCTCTTTGTGGAGTGGAGTTGTTATGCTCTCCTGTGGGCTCTTTCGCCACTAAACTTCACCAAAACAACATTGCATAGCCTTTGTATTGCATATTAATAGCTCCTTGGCGCACACTACTCAGCCATGCACATTGAGCGTCCTAAACAAACCCCCTCTCAAAGCTTCCAAAGAAAGATGAAGGCAACTATGAGCGAGTCAAGTGAGCTAAAGAGCTCCAAAACCAAACCAGGGGTGAACCGAGGTTTGTCAATACTCGACTTCATCCTAAGGTTGGCTGCCATTGTTGGAACATTAGGAAGTGCAATAGCTATGGGAACCACCAACCAGACTCTTCCATTTGTCACACAGTTTATTCAGTTCAGAGCTGAGTATAATGATATCCCTATGTTTACGTATGTCATAAATAACTACTTTATATTTCAAAGACTGACTCAATGATTTACTAACCTCTTTTGGGTGTTTGAGCAGCTTCTTTGTTGTAGCCAACGCCATTGTAAGTGGCTACTTGGTTCTTTCTCTGCCTTTTTCTATATTCCACATCCTGAGGAACAGAGCGCATGGCACAAGGGTTCTGCTGGTCTTCTTAGATGGGGTACTTCCTTTTATCTGTATGAACTTCAATCAGCTAAAGAAAACCACCAATCTAGTATGAAATATACAAGAAAACTTAGGCAGTAATTAAAACAAAGAAAGAAAAGTGGACCATGCTCGCTTACTTGTAATTTGTACAATTGTGAACAGGGAATGATGGCTCTTTTGACATCTGGGGCATCTGCAGCGGCGGCCATTGTATACTTAGCACACAAAGGAAATGCCAAGACAAATTGGCTAGCCGTCTGCCAACAGTTTAACTCTTTCTGTGAGCGAATCTCAGGCTCTTTGATCGGATCTTTTGCAGCAATTATTCTGTTTTTAGTTATGATCTTCCTGTCCGGTGTTGCACTGTCTCGTCGTCGACAGTAGTTTGTGAGAACTGCATCATGATCCTTTTATCTGCAAAGACTAATGCATATATGAATTTGAGTGTGCTACAAAATGACTGGAGGTCCAATCTGTCAGTGTGTGTTATGTATTGTGATTTCTACCAAGTTGATGTAATCAATGAAAACCGTATGAATATTATTATATCTCTCAGCTAGCCCAACAATGCAGGTAGACTTCAACAGGAAAACATGGTAAGAATACTCCTATCTATATGAAAATCATGTAAAGAACGGTATAATCTATGACGAGAATTGTTGAGCGAGGAGTCCCACGTCGGCTAATTAAGGAATATATCTCCATTGGTACGAAGCCTTTTGGGAAAACCAAAAGTAAAGCCACGAGAGCGTGTGGTTATTGGAACAGAATGCACATTGTGCCTTCGGTTGTTCCTGACCGAGAGAAAATACACGAAAGATGGGAGCATAGCAACGCACAGCTAACTACTTTCTTTGACAAACTTTGGCTTTGAGTCGAACAAAAAATGCATTAGAAAGCTATTATCTGCATCGATCATACTACGACCTGCCTCCTTCTTCACCCCACCATCATCCATCAACTTTCGTACTTTCTCGACACCATCCCACTCACCTTTTGATGCATATATGTTAGATAGGAGTACATAATCCCCACTCTCATCCTTCCTCATTTTGAGTAATTGCTCGTTGGCACGCCTTCCCAAATCGACATCTCCATGTACTCTACAAGCCCCTAGCAGTGTTCTCCAAATGATGGCATTAGGTTCAATCTCCATTGTGTCTATAAAATCAAATGCTTCAATCAATAACCCGGCTCGCCCCAAGATGTCAACCATACATCCGTAATGCTTGATATTCGGCTCGATTTTATACGAGTCTCTCATGAGATTAAAATACATACGCCCTTCTTGTACTTTCCCAGCATGACTACAAGCAACCAACACACCAACAAAAGTGATCTCATTTGGCCTGATTTTCAACCTCAGCATTTCTTGAAACAGATTTATGGATTCGTTGGCATGTCCATGAAAAGCCAATCCTCCTATTATTGAATTCCATGAGGAGGTATCTTTATCTCTCATCGCTCGGAACACGTCCACAGCGTTCTCAATGCTTCCACACTTGGCATACATGTCTATAAGTGCATTACCAAGAAGCACACTTATATCTCCACAATACATATCGAAAATGGAACGGTATATCTTCTTTCCAACTTCCAAGTCTCCCAAATCAGCAGTAGCAGATAAGATACTCAACATTGTCACATCATCTGGCCTTTGTCCCACATCTCTCATTGCATCAAACATCTCCAGAGCTTCCCTGTTCAATCCCGATAGAACGTATCCCGCAATCATTGCATTCCATGTGACGACATCTTTGTTCGGAGCTTCATCAAACAGTTTCCTAGCCTTCTCCATCGCCCCCAGCTTCGCATATGCCGTTATCATCACATTCCACGAGACCAAGTCTCTTATTGGCATTTCATCAAACAGTTGTCGTGCAACATCCAATTCCCCTCTTCTTGCATACCCTGCTGTCAAAGCTGACCAAGGCACAACATCCGTTTTAGCAGAGGCATCAAAAAGTGCTCTTGCAGTGCTCAAATCGCCACAATTAGCATGAAAATAAATAAGAGTATTCCTTACAAAGGTATTGGATTGAAACCCAAACTTCACAACCTTCCCATGAATCCCAAATCCTAACTTAACCCATGAAAGTTTAGTACATGCCTTGAGAACAAAGGAGAAGGTAAATTTATCAGGCTTAACCCCACGATTTTCCATCTGGGCGTAAAGAGAAACAGCGCTTGCAGGCGCCAGACTCTGAGCCGAACCCCTGATCATGGTGTTCCATATGAAGATATCCGGTTCAGTAATTTGAGCAAACACTTGATGGGCATAGTGCATTGTTCCAGAAACAGCTATAGAACTTAGAAAAATAAGTTCTCTGAGGGCAGAGGGGCTTGAATTAAAGCCATTGACGACCAAAAAAGCATGAACTTGCTTCAAAGCACGAAAATTGGTGCATTTCTGCCATAAGCTAGAGCGTTGAAAGCGATTGGAGCTAACATTATCATTTGTTCTCTTTCGGATCATCAAAAGAGTGTGTGTTGAGACGAGGGGCAAAAAATAGTTGGATTTAGAATTTGGGTTTCATGCAGTTCTCGCACTTCATTATTCATATTTATGTCCCTTTTTGTATTTTTCAATAATTTAGATTTTTTTTCTTACTATTTAGGGATTAAGAGAGAGAAAAAAAAATTGTATCAGAGCTAAGTTACCGGTGCAAGACACTGGTTGGAGTAGGGGCATACCCTCCCCATACAAGACCAATTTTAAAATTGTGAGGCTGATGGTATTACCTAACGAGCCAAAATAGACAACATCTACTGGTGGTGGACTTGGACTGCAAATGGTATTAAAGTCATATACCGAGCGGTGTGCCAGTGAGGACGACGCTAGGTCCAAGGAGGTAGATTGTGAGATTTTACGTTAATTAGAGAGGGGTACAAAACATTCGTTATAAGAGTATGAAAATCTCTCTTTAATAGACACATTTTTACTATGAGATTGACAACAATACGTAACAAGTCAAAACATACAATATTTACTATAATCCTTAATAATTTTTTCAAAATTCACAAATTTTAAAGAAAATTGAGGTGGAAATGTTGAATTTGATGAAATTAAAAGTTACATTAAAATTTGAAACATAATTTTGTAAAAATATTGCAATTGTTACTATAAACTTGAAACAATTTTACCTCTCAATAAACTTTCACTTTTTATAATAAAAATATTTTCTATTTTTTAAAAACATTTAATAATGTTCTTATTAAATAGAGACAAAGCCATAACTCATATAGTTTTGGGCCAATAAGAAAAAGCCCACCCACTATCCAAATTCCAAACGATATTTTATTATCACATTTTTCCTTTACGTCCCCATAAAACGATTTAAATTAATTATAAACAAATACATTAACTTCACAAATTAAGTTTCCTTTGGTTGTGAAGTGACTCCATCCAAATTGAAAAAAAAAAAAAAAAAACCACCATATTGCAATGTCAACGGCATAAAATACTATACGTATTAATTTGATTCATCTTATTGATAAGTATCCATTTATTTTTATAAACACTGTTTACGTACATATTTATATAATGATCTCTAAAATCAAGTATAAATTAATCGATTATTTGTATGTATAGATCACCTCAACCGTCATAAATAATTATAATTTTTATTTATTTTTTTTAAATATAAGCCAAAAATTATGATGCAAATTTCACATTTTAATTTTTAAGTATATAATTTTGAAATTATATTAATTTTAAGGAGGCCAACAAAAAACTATATATATATACACACACACGTATGTATATATACGTACTTATGCATGTATTTGTGGCTTTTTTTATATATATATATTTAAATTTAGGAAGGATTCTCATTGCGTGTGCTTGTGATCCTTTTGGAAAGAAAAAAAGGGATAATTTATAAAAATGTTTTGAAAAATATTTAAACTTTGATAAAGTCAAATAAAGAACGTTAATCAATTTTAATTTATTATTATTATTATTAGAATTATTGATTCTTTAATATATATATTAAAATTGTCTCGACTAATAATCCGAACAACGATCTGATGAAATTTAGATCGAATCATTGATCATGAAATAGTTTCATAAAAGATTTTAAAAGTTGCCAAATCAAGAAAAGATTTGATAAAAAATCTAAATAATTTATTGGATTGAGACATGTTTTTGTCTCTAAGTTTCAAATAATATATTAATTATATATTATTTAAAAATTATGTAACAAATTGATTTCAAATATAATCATTGGATAATTAACCAACATTTCACACAAACAAATTAATTAGATACAAAAAAAAAAAAAAAAATTAAATATTTATGTAAAAGATTTAAGACAAATATGTAACAAAATACGTGACATTTAAATACAAAGTCCAATCTTGTATGGTTGTATGAAAGGAATTAAAAAAAAACATTATTTAACCTTAAAATAATAATTGGTTTCTGGGTAACATCGAAATGAAACCTTGAACATGATCCATGTATTCCATTAAATGAATAATTAATAATATCTTTACCCAATTGTTAATAAAGTAAGTAATAGATAGTAACAAACTGCCTCATATTTTAATGCCATTTATTCTCAATGATGTGGTTGAATAACTGTATGCCATGTGACGTCATATTTATGAATACGAGGCCCAGTTGTAATTATTACCAAAGTCAAGGGTTTATGTTGCAAATTAATAATAAATATTTGAATACACCATTCCCATAATAACTGATTATACTTGTTTGAATAAAATAAAATAAAATAAAATAAAATAAAATAAATGCCAAAGTGGCAGTGACTAGGCGATACACATGGGCCAAAATCATAGGTTTTTTAAAAACATTATCCTACACCAACTATATTGTCATTGACTTTAGAGAATTACATTATTTAAATGACACACTCCCAATACTTTTTGTTTGTCCTATCGTATAATATAAAGTCTTACCAGCTTATTAATTTTATTTTCTTTGTCTCATTATGGAATATATTAGGTTAATATATGTAATTCTTTGAATTTTGGCGATTCAACTTTTAATCCTTTTAATAATTAATATTTGCCACCTTATAGTTATTGTGGTTTCAAAAAGTCCAACACAATCTATATTGATAACATAATGTATTTTGTTATTTTATTGGGTTTATATTATCTAATATTCTAATCAAAATCATGAGAAGATTTGGTGATCTATTGGGAGACATGCCCCCATAAACTTATGAAATATTTTAATCATAATACTCTTATTTTATTTAATAATTTATAAACAACATAATTTTTTTTCCTTTTTTGTTTAGTAAATTGAGAGTGTTACAATTCTTCAAGTTTAGTTGGGATGGGATGTTCTTGGTACACCTACCAATAACTTTATTATATTTATACAACCTTATTTATTGGCCACCAAAATATAGAATCTAACTCTACCCTTACCCTTAAGCTAATATTTTTCTTTTAAGGTTAGAGAATGATCATGAGTTTATAATCAAGGAATACTATCTTCTGA